TCTCTCTCTCTCTCTCCTCTCTCTCTCTCTCTCTCTCTCTCTCTCTCTCTCACACACACACACACACACACACACACACACACACACTAAACTGAAGCAAAGACCAACCAGCCTGTTTAGGCACTGAGCTCCAGCATCCATGGCCATATTTTGTAATATGTCTGAGAAGCTTCTCATCTTCCTCAGGAGACCACAGGCCTTTCCTGAGTTTTTGCTTGTAGCAACAGGAGTGGCGCCCCATTATCACCAAAATTCGAAAAGCTACTACTTCAAACTTCGCCTGCTAGAACTTTCCAAATTTGGAAAGTTGCAGGCTTGAGAGCTGAACTATAAGAAAGACTCAAATCTCTCTGTTTTCCATGGGTTTCTGATGAAATTGGGATATGGGTTTTGGTCCTGGTGATATAAATATGGTGGGAAGAAGATGATGAGAGAGAAAGGGAGAGGAATGTGGAGGTTTCTTTTAGAGTTGCAGAGGACTAAGAAAGAGTCACAGTCAAGAGGGTGATTGGATTTGAGGTTTGCAAAGAATGGAGAGAGGGGTTATTAATCTGAGTTGCAAATGTCTCATCAATCTCCAAGTATTAATGTCTGTTGCAGCAATGGTGGGACAATTTTGATGATATTTTAAGAGAAAAAACAGCAAGATCCTTGAGGCTCCCAAGGATATATTAGCCATGCTTAATACCCAAGTCAGTAAAAGATCAAAACGTTGAAGTAATTTAGATAAAAATGTCTCATTTCTGAAAGAAGGAAAAAAATATTTACATGGATTTCAAAATTTTCAAAAAGGAAAATTATGGAATCTTTTTACATTATACACTTAAATTGGGTGTTAAGCAAACAGCTGTGTGCACATTAGCTAGGAATAGTCCTATATAAGACAGGGAGATGGGGGAGGAATAAAAGAGACAATATATATATATATATATATATATATATATATATATCAGCAATTATATGTAGAGTGTAGACATTGCAATTTTAGAAAATATAAAAGAGTAAATTATATGAAGACCTTAAAATATTAGAAAGACCAGTTTATTATTCTTGGTAAACTACAATAAAGGAATAATAATAAATTTGGAACAGATTATTCTTGGCAGAAAATGTCAAAATTGCTGAGAAACCATGGTGTTTTGGGGCAAGAGATCAATGGAATTATGCTCATTTCAGTAACCTTTTTCAGTGTCACCAAAATAGACCAAATTAAGAAATATTTATCATTTCTATCAGTATTCTGGGGATTGAGAATTCAATTTATTTCTCAGTTGACAGTTATACTCTTCTCTCTCTCTGTGTATCTGTAAAAAATACCAAGTGAACCTCTCTCTCTCTCTCTCTCTCTCTCATTTATGAACACAATCCAGTAAGAATACCAAGTGACCCCCCACCCACCCTTAGTAGAAATACCATTGAGCCCTTCTCTCTCTCTCTCTAAAAAATACATGGGAAAAAAAGATTCTGCAATCTCCACAGTATCTTTGAATTGAATTTTATTTGCTTCAATGATTAGAAGGTCTACAGTACCCAAAACCCATATAATTCCACACTGTACTCAAAGGAATGAATAGTTCCCAATTAAAAAAACAGGGGACATAAAAGGATGAAAAAAAATTAACAGCCTCCATAGCCATGTTTTATTTGTGATTTACTGAAATGGCCCCATAATTACTGTTAAAGAAGATCAATCCCTGTTGTTTCCAGCCTATCTAAGGCCCCACAATAATAAAACCTCTAAAATCACAATTAAAAAGTAAATAAAATAAATAAATATCAGCCCCCAAAAACCTTCTATCTCATTGAATATCAGCAACCCAAAGCTTCACAGACTCAATAAAAACATAAAAATATTAAATCAAATGTTTTCCATTAAAATACTTGGAACCTATATCAAGAACCCAGTACTACCCAGACTCAAGAAGAAAAAGATTAAAATACTACAATACATAGAAAAAATTAAAATGAATAAAATACTTGGAACCTTAGCTGTCTCCTGTCACTACCTTTGGATTGCCAATACGTCTCTAGACTATCAATTTCATGGCAGAAATTGCAGTAAAAAAAAAAAAAACCAATGGATCCAGTTTTTTATGGGTCCCCCGACTTATAGTATTTTTATGCGGGATCCCTTGAATACCCATTATTTGTATTGGATCCAAATTTGTAGTGATCCATGATCTACAATGATGATCATGAATATAAACAATAAAATATAATAAAATATTTAAAATATTTTTATGAGAATTTTTCCTATCCATCGGATAGGAATCTTTAGTTGTGGATCTTCATATTAAGATGGATGTTTGTGATTCTGCGGGCTAGTGTGTCCGCTGACTCACAAAACATTTGTTCTTATTTTATTGCATTGTTACTCTGTTTTGTTTGTTCTTTTGCTCGGATAGTATATAGACAATAAAAAGATACAAATAAAATAAAAATATTTTTTCTCCACTTTGGTAACTGTGAAATTAGCAGCCATGTCCCATTAAAAAGGGTAAAAAACTTAACAGAAATAATTTGAAAATTGAATTTCTTTCAATAGAGGGGCCACTAAAATCAGATTCTTTATTTTTTCTTTTTCGATTTTATTTTCTCCACCGACAAAAACAACTGATCACATTTATTTCGCTTGGTTTCTCCAAGGATAATGTCCAAGTTTCGTTTATTTTGTTCTTTTTTCCTCCTATATAAATTGGAAAGTTGGTTTTATTTTGTCGATAAAATGGCTTTTTTTATTTTATTTATATTTTATTGCATCAATAGAGGCCAGAGTAGCGTCGGTGACATGAGACGAAAAATTCGTATTTATTTCTTTCAAAAATTTCGGTCCGAAATTTCGGATATCATAACGGAAGAGTTCGACCTCTATCTCCCCCAAAATAAGAAATTTAAATAAACTAAATGTTTTTTTTTGTTATGCAAAACCCTTAAACGTTATTCCCGCAATGCCCTCAAATACAAGGAAATTTCCGAGGATAATACCGAAATCTGTAAAATAGCGGTATTTGGTCGATAATATGATGAGGTTTCTATAAGTTGCAGCGCACATCCAAATTTTAATACAACGTATAATTTTGTTGTAAAAAATTATTAGGATTATCTAAAAATCTATTTTCACATGTAGTTATAAAATTTTAAACTTCAAAAATGGTTAAAATCAAAATCGTGATAATGGACGGTCTAGATAATATGTTGCAAGATGCACTATTTTTGAGACTCAATTTTTTATTTTTTATTTTTATGTTTATTTTTTCATATTCATACATCTCGATATCGAAAAAATCAATTAGAAGAATATTTAAGATGAAAATAGCATTTTGCAATGGAGATATGGTGTTAGTAAGAATCGACACCATCCATTCAAATAACAAAAACTATCTATTACCGGAAAAAGTTTACATAAAGTGGCAACCTTTTAAAATAGAAGTAATGTGTGCCTCAAAAACCCATTGGAAAAGTTATTCCAATGTTAGAAAGCCCTTTAATCGATCATCTCGACTATGAGATGCATGGATTTTTTAAAAGAAGCACAAAAGAATATCAAGTAGAACTATAAGTCCTAAAAAATAGTACTACAATACTCCCTTTGAAAGTATAAAAAGTAGTGTATCTTGTAACAACATTATTAGATTGCCATTTTCAAGATTTTCAAGTATTTATAGATATGCTCGAGCTACACTTTTTTTAAAGTTTCAAGTTTCACAATGGCGAAAATATATTTCAGGCTATCCCAAGAATTCTAGATGCCAAAATTGCATCTTCCGACAAAGTTTACATGTGCATCGTACTCCGATGATTTATGCTTTGTGGTTTACATCTTATGCATCTTACATAGTACTTTGATGATTTATGTATAGAAAGTATGCTAGAAGATCAATTATATTTGGTACAAAAAAGTCACGGTTATTCTCACTTATTAGTTCTGATGTGAAGTCTGACATTCAGAGGCACAAAAGTATAACGTCTTTTTTGAACTAATTACAATTTCTTGTACAATTCCAAAAGGTAAGGGGCAATTTATCAAAATACCTAGGAGGGATGAAATATTTAACATTCTACTATATTTTTTTATGGGTGCAGTTGGCATACAGATGCATCTGTAGCTGTAGAGGTAAGGTGCAGCCTCAAATTTTATCATGGTATATAATTTTGATGTAAAATATTATTAGGATTATCTCAAAATCTATTTTTATATCTAATTATAAAATTTTAAATTTAAAAAATGGTTAAAATCAAATGCATCTATAAACACATGAAAATCTTGAAAATGGACGGTGTAGATAATATGTTGTAAAATGCACTATTTTTTAGACTTAAAATTTTTCGTGGTCATATATCTTGATGTCAAGATGTCCAATCAAAGGGTTTTAAAACATTAAAACTATCTTTTCCGATGGACTTTTAAGGTGCATCGGTAGATGTAGAGGTAAGGTTGCAGCTTTATATAAACTTTTTAATTTTTTTATTCAGTTTTAAAATACCCATCAAAGTTCACATTATCAGAGAACTTGTAAATGGGTTAGATATTACATCTACAGGTTTACAATCATTGATAAACATACGGATATGAATGTCTGTAGAGAGAGAGGAGGGGGTGGGGTGGGGAATCAATGAGGCTTTATGTCGTATATTTTCTCAAGAGCATTTGATGAGTCTTTTCATATGATCCAAGGGCTCTTCTTCATAACAACATGATCCAACGACTGTCAGGGAGCATTCCATATAATTAAGCCAGACTTATTTTCTTTCATTCCCACTAGAAAATTGAATGTTCAAGTGCATTCCTTGGTTCGTTTTTTTTATCCTGTAGTTTTTTTCGCATCGTTCTAAAAATTAATTTGTAGATATTTAAATTTTAGAAAGGGGATTGCAAATAGAAAATAATTTTGTTTCTTTTGAAATTTCAGGATTTTTCCTAGACTGTATAGCTCTTCCTTTCTCAACTTTTTCCAAGATTTTCAATCTTCCCAAAAGAAACCCCCCACCTTCTCTTTTTCTAACACACACAATTAAAAGCCTCTCTCTCTCTCACACACACACGCATCCAGAGTTCCAGACAAGAATGCATCTCTCACACACACGCAAATGAATGCAGGTTTCTCTTTTCTCTCTGATTCACATACACATGAATGTAGGTCTCTCTCTCTCTCTCACGCATACACACAAATGAATGCAGTTCTCTTGCACTCTCTCTCTCTCCCTCCCCACAATTAAAAAAAAAACACACACACACATATGAACGCATGCCTTTTGTGCATGGTAAAACCTAATAATTGTGATTTCCTTTTGATTGGGAGAATAAAATATTGAGTCCAATGCTTAGCATTTTGTCAACAGTGCAGTACATACAAGGGCCCATGCTTACTAGTTTCCTTTTTGAGTTTTTACAATTAGAAATTCTCAAACACGTTATGCCGACATTTTTATTGCATTATCAAACAAAGTCAATAGTACTCATGCGCTCTATCCCATAAATTTAAAATAAAATAAAATAAAAGATATATTTCCTATTGCAATTTGAAATTAAGGAATTAATAAAAAGATGCCTTCCTACTAATTATTTTTTCCCTAATTTTTTTATGGGTTTTGGAAGGCAAATATTCCATGCTAGGCCTGCATGGAATCCCGACAACCAAGCTTCTAAAAGGCATCTTCCTTTTTTAATTCTTTTTTTTTTTCCCACATCCATGCTTTTTAAACTCTAAACATAATATTTAATTCATACTTTTTGATGAATAAATTGTCTTCTTCTTGGGTATTATGAGGTGTCTTGACCTTTGCAATGTACTCTTCTTCCCTATATATCCAAAAAGATTTCAAATAAAACCATAGAAA